TCTTTCCCTTTGCTGCTATCATCCCTTAAGCTCTTTGCTGTTGAATATTCAATAAACAGCAACCTAAACTCGCTGATCAAATCATACAGAGTAAAAACTAAAAAATGTCTCACAGGAGTCACATGCAGTATCTCTCTAAATGACCCTTACGTTACTTACGCCCTCGCTGTCTAGAGACCCTCATGCTATGAATAATATCAGCAGCAATGTAAATCGTATCTTAAAAAAAAAAAACCCTTACTTCCTCTCCATCAAGCTTATCGCATTTTTTACTATTAAAAGATGCCCCAAAGCTGAACCCTGGTCAGCTCACCTGGCCAACCACCCATTTTATGCCTGGAAGAGTCAGGTTCAGCTCCATCCTTCAGCAGACTCCTTTCAGCTGCTTACTACAAAAGGAGAAGACCAGCAGTTGTCCAACATGCCCCACCTGTAAGCAGCCTGCACCCTGCTGCTCAGCACACTCCTGACACGTGGGAGTTGTGGGTCCAAGACTCCTACGCGTCTTAAAGCCTACATCCAAGGTCAGCCTGCTAACTACTGCGCTGTTGGGTAAAGCAGGATTACATGGGACACTCTCTTCTGTGGAGCTATGCCTGCTCAGAGGATGCCTGCTGAATCAGGTCACACAGGCAGGGCTGGCAGGGAGAATACCTTGTGCATGAATCCCATGGGATCTGGGGTTAAACAAGCGCCAAACTGCTTAGATTCATCAGGTTTGGGATTGCTCTCTGCATGCAACAGAAAAGCAAGCACTGCAGGTGTAGGTTACGTGAAAGCCAGCTATGCCTAATTTTAGTACCCGCTCTCAAGGATGTGTATACATTCCCTTTGTGAATTCAGCTTTTGGACTGCAGCTAATTTCCCTCTGCTATAGCATTTGCATAAGGTTTTATGGGTTCTCCCTGTATGGATGTGTGTGAGTAAAGAAAGGCAAATCTGATAATTTATATGAAATGTAGGTACACAGATCATGTTCTTGCATAAGTGTATCGTTGCTTATTGCTGCCATGACTTTCCATATTATTAATGATTCCTAGCAGAATGGAGAGGTAGCACAAACTTCAAATAAAAACTGTCCTGAATCTCATGAATACCACATACGTATGTGTACATTCATGCATATGTACATACACAGAAAACACCCTTAATAGCATCCCACTCACAACATGCAGTTAAATATAGGAATCTTTTGTCTTCAGTGCAATACAGGAATGTAGGAGAGAAGAGATTACTTGGCAAGATTATTGTCAAGGAAAAAAAAAATTGTGTAGCCCTATGCACCAAGCCACAAAACCACACACAGAGAAAATGGCTCATACCCATTTTTTGGAGAGTAGCAGTAGGACCTCCAGAATGCACGCCTCCCCCAGACGCTTTTGCTTCCTGGGACATTATGGATGAAGCAAGCGATCCTTTTGTGATCCCAGAGGAAGTGAAACCAGCCTTGTGGACATTTTGGTCAGACATTTCTCTTTCTGATGGTGGAGAATCCACTGAAGCGTTGTGAGGCTCAGCCCATCTTTTTATATGTTGTCTAGCTAACAGCAAAGGAACCAAACTGCTACCCCTACCAGGAAGATAAGAAACCCAAACTTTTCTTCTTCCAGGAAATGAAACTGAACTTTCTGAATATGCCTTTTTAGTGCTGCTGTCAGGGTGAAGTTTAGGCAAACCAACTAATTTCTTCTTATGATATTACAACAAATTAGTAGCATATGAGTCATTGATTGACAGCTTATGTGGCTGAGAACTTTGCTTCTTCGTTCTTTTGCATTGCACTCTATGGTACTGAACTGCACCTGTAGGAGATAGATAGCCCCTCGTTTTAAGAATTAATACAACCCTGAGTAAAGACAATAGACAAAAAGGCAGTGAAGTGGTGGTCAGGGGGAAACTGCAACTTGAGTTGGTTATAACACCCAGAGTTGAGTTGTACTGCTACCCTTGAAAAAGCTGGTTTACAGAGAGCTGGAAATCAGAGCTCAATTAACAAAAGTTGCTTGAAATTAATTTCTTTATGGAAGGAACTGTGAGGGGACCTTGCATCGTATGAGCAGATTGACACAGGGGTTTTGTTCTTCTCCGTGCAAATCCTGCTAAAGCAGAGCCTCCATCTTTAATGAACAGGCTTTTGCAAATGGCACACGCTCCTTTATCGCAGCTTTTCTTAGCCAGTAGTTTAAATAAGGCTGTTTAAAAATCCACAAATCTCCTCCCTTAAGTAAAGAGGAATATCTGATTAGGTTACACTACCGCAGGGATGTCTCTCCAAGTGGAAATATACAGAATAAAAATATAGCATTTTCATGGTCGTATAATATCCACACCTTGTACATGGTGGGTTATAGAACAAAGGATACAAAGTCTGTTCTCCTCTTCTCGTATGTGCTATTTATCTGAGCAGTGGGATATCCGGCCCATGTACCCCTGAGCAGCACTGCCCTTTTCTTTCATTCAATTTTTCTTTAATTCATATATGTTAGTTTTCTTTAATTCTAATGTTTGCTATTTTTATTTTCTACTCTGTTTGCATTAGGGCTTCTGTAATTATGATGCATCTTTATCCCCATAATTTCTCAAGTCTCTCATTTATCATTTTGAATTACTTGATGTTATAAAATATCTAAAGTTGCAGCTTAAATGCAAGTAAAATTCCATGTGAGAATAGGACAATTAATGCTACAGGCCCTCTTCAAAGTGACAAAAACCCCAAAAATGTCACTTTCCTTGTACATATTGCTACAGATCCTTCCTTCAAAACTGCTAAAATCTTTTGGTGCTTTGTTAATATCATTTATTTAATATTCCAAACAGCCCGTCAGGAAATGATGATAAAGCCTGGCAAAGCCACGAGGAATGAAGGCTTCACAAAGTTGCAGAGACTCTGTGTGTGATGACCTTTTACTCAATCCTGAAATACAATTCATAACAGATACACACAAAGTTGTTGAACTAAAAAATAGTTAAAAAATTGGAAAAAATAAAAGTTTTATTGCAAGCAAAGCGCCTCAAGGCAATTCATGATTGGCAGAGACATCAGTGAATAAGCAGGGAAAGGAGAAATTAATAGTAGTCTCATAAACATAAGGCGAAGAAACTCGATGTAATAAGGAGAGGGAGGACACTGAAGGGGTTCAAGGGAAGCCTCTGTTTACAAGCATGCCACAGACCTACTCAGCAAGGACGTGGCTCTGAAATCTGCTGGGTGGTTGCTGTGAGTTTGACGGGGAACATGTGAGTGGGCACAGACGACACAGTGCTAAAAACAGCTGAGCTCTGCCTACCTTCGTGCTCTTATTACTGTAGTGGCATGGCATATGTAAGTTATTGAGAAGTTTTGACCTGGAAGAGGTTTGCTTTTTACTTGTTTTCAGCTTATTATGAGAACCTGGACAATCTCTTCTACAAAAATGGATGAAAACAAGGTTGATCTCGGGGCTGAGTCTGCTGTTAGGTCTTAACATCCCTGACCAGCCTGCCCTGGGCCCTCAGCCCCTGCCTGAGCGGCGCTGCAGGTGCAGCCGCCTGCAGCTCCCTCACAGCCATACCTCGCTGACCCAGGCTGGCCCGCAGCTTGTCTCCGTGGCTTGGCCTTGGCCTCTGTGATGGGCTGACCCTGGCGGGGCACCAGGTGCCCACCAAAGCCGCTCTGTCACTCCCCCTCTTCAACAGGACAGGGTAGGGAAAATATATCAAAAGGCCGGTGGGTTGAGATTAGGATGGGGAGAGCTCATTTGCCAGTTACCGTCATGGGCAAAACAGACTCGACTTGATGAAATTAGTTTAATTTATTCCCAATCAAAACAGATTAGGAGAGGATAAAAAAAAACCCTGAATCTTAAAACACTTCCCCCCCACCCCTCCCTTCTTCCCAGGCTCAACTTCACTCCTGATTTTCTCTACCTCCTCACCCCAGCGGCGCAGGGGTTC